TACTGTACGAACTTTCGTACAATGAAAATAAGGAAAATATTCCGCCAAGATTTTGCATGTTTCGCCTTATTTTCAACACACAAAAAAAAATGAAAAATGAATTGAATAGCAATGAAAAATTATGGGCATCATAGAGATAGAAATTAATTCAATATCTAAGGGATTTACAAAATAAAATCAATATTTATTTCTACTCTTTTTTATCTAATTCAATTGCCCGTCTAAAATTATCACCTCATCCTAGTTGACCAAAATTACAAATTTTCAATTTTTTTATTAAATTTCAGAAATTTCAGACATGAGATCCCTAATTCTAGGCTGTGTATACACAGTGCTGTTTCCGGCCATCTGGGGGCTTTTGGATTCCAAAAATTTTCGGGTACGCTCCGCACCAACCGATGGTGGCGCTCCGCTTAGATAGTCCTGCCGGCACTAAAACCATCCTGGGCAGAACCCTGTAACTTGGACATGCGGATTTCGTAATAACACGAGTGGACTGTAATCAGAAACAGAACTTTTTTTGGGCCTGATTCATTGTTAGTCTTATCATGCAACACATTGACACACCTGTACAATAAACCTCCTCATAGGGTACATACTTATAATAACCTAACCATGCTGTATAACAGTATTACTATACAATGCAATAACTGGACACAATGAACGCTGGCATTGTGAACTTATGGACCATTCATCCTGGCCAATAAAGAAGGTTCTTATGGAGAAAGTGTTCCTCTCAAAAATGTTTTCCCTATAAGAACTGGCACTGTGCAGTTGGGGCTGCTGGTGTGTTTGTTGTGACAGACATTTTGTCTTCACCACTTCATAAGTTATACCATGACAGATTTTTCTAACCTGTTAGGAAAGGTATGAGTTCACTGCGAGTCCTCTCCACACCAAGAGCCAATGCTATGGTAGACAGCTTCTTGATGCTGTTGAGTCGTAACTGTAAGTAACAAGAAATTAAAACCTTGAGCATTTTGTGTGAGCTCCATAATCGTTCTCGATCTACATGACCACAGCAACATCATATTTATGGGCAGCTATTGGCATGACATAACAAAGTAAACAGAAAGAATGTCTTCAAACATTGTTTCCTGGAAGTTATCTTGTTAATTTTTAGGGGAAAAATAGAAATGGCAGTGGATTTTTGTTATCATGAATTTCTGTTGACATTGGAAGGGCTGATGTTGACACTGCCTCCAAACTTTTTTTCTAGATTTCGGAACATTCCTTTTTTATATTAAAATTTGTAGTACCTGTTAACATAGAAGAATAAGAAGTTAATGAAAGTTCATTCAGTCAAATATCAACCTTTCTATATTGACAAGTAAGAGTCATATTCTTTGCTAACCTAAAATTCTGGCACTTCAGAAAGCTGTCGTTTAGCAAACGCATCAGATGTTGCCTTCAGTACTTTCAATCTTTTCAATGCACATGAGCATGCTGATGCTGATGTCTCACAAGCTGACAAGCATTGTCTTGAGCAAGGGTGCAATACAGTGATTAGATAAGATACATGTACATAATTCCAGCTGAAATTGGCATAAAAGTCAGGCAGGGTTGTCCCTTTTGGGCAGTCAAAAGTCGCCAGTATTCAGCTTGGTGATCGTAATACATCCATGTACATGTACAACATGCCAATGATCGTGTAGCGCACCGTGTACATGTAACACAGCATCACTTTTCCATGCATACTTCTTGTCAGGCTACAGCAAAAGTGTCTTTTTCGCGCGCGTGTAATGCATGCTGATTGGATGAACAAAGCACTTGTAACATATCCAAGTAAACAATGCTGACTCCGCCAAACATTTGAATAACAGGTGATCAATCAAACTGCTCAATTTTGCCTATGCAATTTTCATCATGTTTCGAAGTAAATGTAGTTGTGCAGAGATCCAATCATGTAGCTTCTTTGGCTTACGTAGGCAGAGCTCGTGAACGAGACACAGCTTCTCAACATAACAGAGGCTAGAGGTCATCCAGTCAATGATATCACCGCCATAAATAGGCTCTCTAGGGTAAGTCCTCTCCAACAGAACCAAACTTTACACAGACACAATGGTCGAACTGCTTGAAAATGCACTTGGAATATGGACAAAATTTTGTCATGTAAAAGGTAAACAACTCACTCCACAAATCCTCCTTTTTATCATCTTTGCTTGATTTTCTTGCGCAAATGGCATAGCTAGAGAAAATCTTTGACACCCAACCTGAATACTGAATACTAATACTGAAAATCAATTTTTCACACATATCCAACTTCAGGCACCAATTACTAAAAACAAAGTTTTGGGGAACGTTCCTCATTATGACATGGGAGGTCACTGGATACCATTCGTGAAAGTCCAGAATTGTATGACAACAGTGACAAATGATTTATTACAGTGTCTACATAAAAAAGTCTAATAAGCCCATAAAATTTTGAAAATAAAAAAAGTTGGCTTTTATAAATAATCAGAGGGGAAAATAATGTGTGAAAGCCGAGGGGATTTTGAACACAGATTTTCCTCATGAGAGCTTTAACATGAGAGTCAATATGAAGGCAAAGGTGGCGAGTATGTTCCATTAACCCTAACTGCCCAAAACCTGCCATACTCCAACAGCAGGTTTTG